GGAGAAACCGTACAAATGTCATGAATGTGGAAAAGCTTTCAGTGAGAATTCACATCTAAAACCATATCACCAGACTCACACTGAAGAGAAACCATATAAATGTAATGGATGTGAGAAAGCTTTCAGTGCAAGCTCAGACCTAAGGATACATCAGAGAATTCACACTGGGGAGAAATCCTTTCCGTGTAGTGAATGTGAAAAATCTTTCAAATATAAGTCAATCTTCATAATACATCACAGAATGCATACAGGGGAGAAACCCTTTAAGTGTAATGAATGTGGAAAATCTTACAGCCGTATGTCAGGCCTGAGGAATCACATGAAAACTCACACAGGGGAAAGGCCATATAAGTGTGATGAATATGGGAAAGCTTTCAAATTGATGTCAGACCTAGTACAGCACTGTAGAACACATACAGGGGAGAAATCATGCAAATGTAAACAGTGTGGAATAGCTTTTGTTCAGATATCACAACTTAGAGGACATCACAGGATTCACACAGGGGAGAAACCCTATAAATGTAATCATTGTGGGGAAGCTTTTAGTCGGAAGTCAAACCTCAGAGTGCATGACAGAACTCATACTGGGGAGAAACCTTATAAATGTAATGTTTGTGGCAAAACTTTCAGGCAGAAATCAAATCTCAAAGGACATCAGAGAACTCACACGGGGGGAAAACCCTATGAATGTCATGATTGTGGAAAAGCTTTCAGTGAGAAGTCAGTTCTCAGAAACCATCAGCGAATTCACACTGGTGAGAAGCCCTATAATTATAATCAGTGTGGGGAAGCTTTTATTCAGATTTCTAGTCTTAGAGGACACCAGAGAACTCACACAGGGGAAAAGCCCTATGAATGTCAGAAATGTGGAAAAGCTTTTAGTGAGAAGTTAAGTTTCATAAGGCATCAGCGAATTCACACCAGGGAGAAGCCCTATAATTGTAATCAGTGTGGAAAATCTTTTAGATATCTAGTCTTAGAGGACATGAATGAACTCACACTGGGGAGAAGCCTTATAATTGTTTTTGGTGTGGAAAAACTTTTGGTCAGAAATCCAGCCTCAGAGTACATCAGAGAACTCATACAGGGGAAAACCTTACAAGTGTGATAAATGTGACAAAAATTTTAATTGGAGTTCAACCCTTCATAGACATGAGAAGACCCACACAAAATTAAAAATAGGAGTATAAATATGAGTGTAGAAAGTATGGTCAGTATATGCAATCTTCTCAGCCCATATTTAGTGCAGTTGTTGAATATCAAAAGAACTTGCCCAGCAAAGAAACACTTTAAAGTTGATAAACACAAGAAACGTTCTGTGAATTTAATCTTCGAGAAACCAGTGCTGTAGACAAGTTCTGAGAAAGTAATGTAACAGTTTTGTGCAAGCAATCAAAACTCATCAAAGAAATCACAATAAAGAAAACCTAGAAGGGTTAACTTTTTCAGTATAGTACACAATATATAAAGACCTCAAAGTGTATCCAAACAGGCAAGAAATGAAGGTAATGGGGCAAATCCTCCTGTAAGTCAGCCTTCAAGTTTGATGTAAGGCAAAGGCCCATGGGTCATATAATGACTACAATACTTATTAATAACCATTTCATGTTTGACCTATAATATACCAGAAAAATATCTCAACTATTATATGCTCCAAATAGAATTACATTATTAACCTGTAGCTAATAGATTGTAGGGGTCAATTACAGAGAAATTTCATTTAAATTAATTTTTAAATGTTTTCTTCCAGTCTTCATCAGAATGGTGTGGAGATTGCTTCTAGTTCATATGCTGAGAGTGAAAGCATTTAAGATGCCAGGAAGTAGGGCCAACAACTGACTCTCTGAGATGACTTTGCTCCCTCTGTGTATAGTTGGGCCATCTTATAGCTAGAAAATAAACTTCTTCTCTGCTGAGCTTCTATGGGTTTGGGTGTATATGATACTGACATAAACTCATCAACCCTTAATAAAACCTGTGAATATAATTTCAGTGAATATTTGATCTCACTGTGTATTAGAAAAGTCACTCAGAAAAAAACATCCTACAGTAGCCTGATTGCTCATACCTTCTATCCACAGCTCTTTATCAGTCTGGTCAGTGGGAACAAATCTAATATTCATTGT